GGGTGGCTACTGCCTTGGGGGATGGGCGCCAGCAGCGGGCTCTGGTGGGTGGGAGGAGGCCTGGAGAACAGAACCAGCCACGGGGGAATCACGTGCCACAGCTGGGACACAGAAATGCTGCCCTCCAGACCCCACGGCACGGCCCCACCCAGTGTCACCACAGACAAGACAGAGACCGGGGCTGAGCAGGGACAAGGGCTTCAGGTCGGGAGGGGTCCCCCTGCTGCTTCCACCCACGAACCCCACCCGCCTGCCCGCCCAACCTCCTCAGCAGACCACACGAGGCTGGGCATGTCTGGGAGGGCCGGACCCTGGTGGGAAGGAGGCCACGGACGGGCCAAACGGAGAAGGGCCCAAATCCTGCTCCAGTACCTGTCCCAGGGGGAATTCTAGCACGCTCACTAAATGTCCCTGTGACCTTAGCAAACCAAATTCCTCATGATTCCAAGCTTCTCGTCAGAACAAAAGGAAAAAAATCTAGGCAAGTGGAGACTAGTCGTATCCCAGATACCTCTCCGAGGGAAAGGAGAAAGAAAACAGAGCAGGCTGACAGCGGCCCGTCTGCAGAGAGCAGAGACCGTCAGAGCGGGACTTGCAGCTTCTGAGACTCCATGGGCACAGATCATCAACAGCTCCCCGTTACCTCAGAAGCAAAGTCACACAGAAAGAAGCTTCAACGCCTCAGTGTTCCCGCTCAGGACACTCTACCTGGCGCCGTCACAGGGGCCGGGCCTGGGCCGCCGGCCGGGGGCTTGCTTCCCAGGGCGTTGAGGGCGCCCGCCTGAGACATGGTCTGCATCACCACGGGGCCCGGCGGTCGCAGGTAGGACTGCCCCGGGGCGGATACGATCTGAAGGACGCTGCCTGCAATCACACGAGCACCAAGAGGCGTCACTCACGGGCTGCGTGCGCCTCCTCCTACCTGCGACACGCATGTCCACACGTACGGGAACAAATGAAGCAACAAACCAGAAATCCAAATTCAAATTTACTCCAACAAGGCAGCGCAGAGTTCAGTTACTTGAAAAACATGAGAGTATTTCATTGACAGTGAGTGAAAAACTAAGGAACACAGTCACTTCTACTTAAAGTCAAGAAAACGCTCATCTACTCTTTGCCATTCCTGACTTCGGGCAATGTGGGGGGCACCCAGGACGGGTCTGTCAGGCCTGCCTGAGGCCCCAAGCCAGTGCCAGGGTGAGAGTCCCAGCTCTGGGTCACACGTGGGTGCCCGCTGACCCGTAAAGCCCGATGAAGAAACAACTAAAAACACCCTCTGGCCTCAAAGCTGCAGCTCTCCTCGCACTTAGTTTAAGGAGCCTGCCACATTCCGCCTTTTGTGTGATGAAGTCTGACATCGTTCACTCTGGAGGAACGTCCCCATGCTGGGTTCCGCGCAAAGCAGAGCCTGCCGGAGGTGCAGACAGATGGCCTTGCCCCCGTGGCCAGAAAACTGAAGGAACAGGGAATTAGGCCAAATTACAAGCTGTCTCTGCTACAGGCTTCCTGGGGCCTCCACTCTGCTGTGTGTGACCTTGCAGCGCCCGTACGGAGCGTCCCAGCGTGGGCTCACAAGCGCAGCACACAGCCCGTCCCAGGGAGGCTGCTGTGGGTGCCAAGGGTGGCCTAGGCCCGCAGCCAGCGGGGACTCAAGCTCTAAGCCGCTGCCACCCCGTCACTTAGGGCTAATGCCAGCGTGCCCCTCGCACCGCTCATCTTCTGACAAAGCAGTTAAAAGCAGTTACCACAGGAATACGTCGTGCGCAGACAAAGCCCTGTGAGGCTTTGATCTAGGAGTCAACGCTGTAAAACCCGTACATGAAAGAACACAACAGCTTCTACATAATTTGCTAGTGCTGTGGTGTTCTTAGGACAATTTATTTCACACTAAAATTAAAAAATAACAAATATCTCTATTTTGATTTTAAAAATACGAAATATTTGGGGCACCTGGCTGGCTTAACCACTGGAGCTGTGACTCCTGATCTCGGGGTCGTGAGTTCAAGCCCCACACCGGGCAGAGAACTTACTTAAAAAGAGTGTAAAAGTAAAAAAATATAAAAATGAGCAACATCCCCAAAGAGCCTATTTTATCAAAAAACAGTGTCAGCTACGCAGCACGCATCCACCACAGGCAAGCGGGTGCTTTTGCTTGCTGCCCGGCTGGCCCCCTCAACACCCCACAAGGGAAGGCATGCAGGCCATCTCCAGGTGAGGCACCTGAGCTCCCAGGGGCTGCCCGGTGCGCCCGAGGGGCAGCGGCAGGGGAGAGGCTGGGCCGACGGCAGGGCATGGGGTGCTGTCCCCTACCTTGCAGCTGCAGGGGCTGGCCGGCGGTGAGCTGCCGAAGCTGGCTGTGCGACAAGGTGAACTTGTTCCCCTGGAACTGCAGCGTCACCGGGGTCTCTGGCTGGGCGACCCGGCTCTGCGGCCCCGCCAGGGAAGCCAGCTGGGCTATTTTGACCACCTCCCCACCTGCGGAAATGCAGAGGAAGACGGGATTAAAACCTCTGGGAGAAGTCTGCAGCTGTTCTACTGACGACCATTTGTCGTCCAGAATGACCGTCTGTGGTAAACGGAAGCGTCATGGAAACGTTTCTTAGGTATTGCTTCCTAACGCTTTCAGAAAATAATTATTTTAATAAAAAGAGAAAATTAATACTGGATCTTAACAGTTAATTTACTTAATCAAAACTGGTAGAGATTTTTGATATCAGATCTTAATTAACCAAACTACCAACATTTTACTTTTCTCTCCAACCAATGAAAAATCAGCAAACGTCAAATACAGCAGAAATCTATTTGTAATACGCTTTGGAACTCTAATATCAACCTTTCTTTTTTAAGTTTTTTTTAAGATTTTATTTATTTGAGAGAGCGAGAATGAGAGAAAGAGAGAGCACATGAGAGGGGGGAGGGTCAGAGGGAGAAGCAGACCCCCCGCCGAGCAGGGAGCCCGATGCGGGACTCGATCCCGGGACTCCAGGATCATGACCTGAACCGAAGGCGGACGCTTAATCGACTGAGCCACCCAGGCGCCCTTCTAATATCAACCTCTTTAGAAAACTTTCAAAATGTGAAAAAGTACGTGTCCAATTCAGTGCACAGAGGTACGCAAGATCATACCTTGTGAGTGTGAGAACGGGTCACTAGCATAAACACATCACACAAACGTAGCTGTAAGACGTAAAGGTTCCCACTAACTCGGACTAGACTGCAGGATTCGATCCAGAACGTTGACTGAAGAAATGCCAGACTCGACATTGCTTTAACACACCGTTTGTGAAAACGTAACTCGGATGGAGTCCTGTGCACTTGACTCAGAAAGGTACTAACTACCTGCAGGCTCTGAGTGAACGCCAGGGGTACAGGGTTCTGCCCCCCAGTGGCTGATAATGGAACCTAAACGCTCCCCCCAAAGAAACCCATGCCAGAATGATTAGTGACACCACACAGAGAACAGTCAGCAGAAGACCAGGAAAAAATCCAGAGGTCCTGCCCCCAGAAGCTGTGAACGGGAGGGACGACAGGAGGAGGCGCAGAGAAGTGTGTGTGGACAGGACACCCCGGCCCTGCTCCATCCACACAGAGCGAAGGGCAGCGGGGGGCTCTGCCCGAGCTCAGCTCCCATGGCACGGCCCCCGCGACACCTGTCCCTGGCACACAGAAATGTCACCCATGCAGGGGTTCCCTCCCCCAGGCAGCCAGCAGGACTGTAACTCTTCACTCCCTGGCAGTGGAAGCAGCAAGGCCTCGTCACAAGAGACTAGCCCGAACTCGGGGTCTCCTCGTGACATCCGCCCCCCCAGCTTCCCAGAGAGACCTCCACACGCTGGTCACGGCCACCAACGAAGTGCTCGAGGGCACGTGTGAGAAACAGCGGTGCCTACGGCCGTCTGCGTAAGGGCACTTCCTACAGCACAATCAGCAGGGGCACATGAAAGATGTGGAAATATGCTAACGACACTGGTCACGGTAAAAAGGCCTAACGCAACGTAGTAATATTGTGACGTTTCCATCACCAAGCTATTAGGAGACGTCTCAGCTGAGCAGGAATTCACTCCAGGCTTAAATGTGATCATAAGCGGAAGAGTCAAAACAAGTCGTGCTTTTTAACAACCGGCACCGGTTCCCTCGCTGGCGAGGGCGTTACGTGCTCTCGCCTGAGTACCACCTGCTCCCCGGGCTGAGTCCCGGGGCCGACGGAACGAGCCTCTGGCTGATGCTAAGGAGAAGTGAGGCGGTCAGCACACCAGCAGAGCATGCGCGGGAGGAAAGCAGAGCTGATGTCCGGGGATCAGGAGAAAGGACAGAGGAGGACAGGGCCCTGGACGCTGGCCCTGCAGAGGGCGTCCCTCTGCACACCTAGGGCCGAAACGACAGCGTGGCGAAAGGCAGAGCCCAGGCGTGGGTTTAGGGAGACAAAGGGAGTGGACAGCAAGGCTCTTCACACACGCTGATCGGAACACAACTTCCCGTGGCAGAGACGTGGCAGAACCGGGAGGGGCGAGGCCACTTACTGGGCAGGCGCGCCTGAGCCTGCGAGGTGAGCACCAGCCCCTGAGGCAGCGCGCTCTGCCCCGCCGGGTGCGAGGGGGCCTGGGGCGGGGGCGGGGGCGGGGCCCGCGGTTTCGCAGGATGGGCTGGGCTAGGTGCTGCGCTGGAGGTCGAGGCGGGCGGCTGTCTCGGAGCGGGAGCGCCGGTGGAGGCCTGGGAGGTCTGAAACGGGGCTGCCGCCACTGCAATCGATAAGGTTTGTTTGTGCAAAGCCGTTAGAGGTTCTTCACGAAATGCAGTTATTTTAAACCCGAATTTCAAAGAAACAAAACAAACATTTCATTAAAGTCTCTCAGATGAGAAGCCCTCTCTTAGGAAAAGGGGTAGGGGAGTGGTTTATGGGGTGAAGCGGAACTTTCTATCTGCTGTGCGGTGTTCTCCGAGTTCATCGGCAGGCCACGAGGTCCGCTTCTGCAGGGCACGCAGTGCGGGCAGCCAGCCGGTCCGACGGGGCCGCGCCCCACCCGCGTGCCCAGAACAGCGCTGCCGTGCACGCGGGGCGGACGCGGAGGACCCAGTGGCGGAGGCTGGAACACCGTCCCGTTACCTTCTGCCCGTCAACCCTACCCGTCTTCAGTGACAGTCGGGCTACGTGCAAGTGGGGCCCCAAACTCGAGAGCAGCCTTCCTGAGCTGCCGTGCACAGTCGGACACGCGCGTCCCTGCGTAACAGGGCCTTCGCCGAGGCCCGCCTTCAGCAGCACGCCAACAGCGACTCGACCAAGACCGCAGCGTCTTGTTCGGGGAAAAACTCCAGTTTCAAGAAACCAGAAGGCCTGAAACTCCTGGGCGAGCCACGTGAGGTGTGTTCAGCAGAGCCTGGAGCAGGCAGCCCGTCCCGAGGGGCGGGGAAGTGCCAGGCTCCGTCCACAAACACCCTCGGTAACCCCGAGGGCACGCCGGCACGTGAGGCCTACCTTTTGCATCTGGATTTGCAGAGAACGTGGCAATCGGTGGCCGTCCTCGCACGTGGCCCTGCGGAGTGGCGGCGGCTGTGGCAGAGGCTGCTGTCCGGGCCGGGTGTGTGCTGGGGAAAGCCACGGTGCGACCCTCGGGCTTCTGTCCGTACTGCACGGGCTGAAACAACCTGGCAAGAAGGCGTGTGCACCACTGAGACACGGGGGGCTCGGGCTGCCAGAGGCGGTGAGGGTCCTGACTCCCGGTGCAGCTCAGAGAGGGGCTGGGGCTCCAAACGGGCACCGAGAAGCTCAGCACGGGTCCAGGGGAGGTGCACCCCACGTGACCACGCTCGGGACACAAAGTGGCAACGTCTACCCCGAGGCTGGGGGACACGGCGCTCCCGTGGAGTGCAAGGGGAGTGGGCGGGAAGCCACGTCCAACAACGAAGTGACAAGACAGGTCACGGTGGCTGGAAGCGGAACCGGCGCCTTGAAGGCGACGGGCTAACACCGCAAACAGGGACCCACGCCTGTGGCCGCCGTTTCGGGTGTTACCACACACGCTCTTTGGAACCCTTTTACCTGGAAAACCGTAATGGCGGGAACTGTCTATTTTCAAATCCCCCGTGCAGGGCACCAGCCAGAGACAGCCAGGAGAAAGCCGACGACCTGGAGCCGGGCCAGCCCGAGAGAACCGCAGCCCCACCGGCCCACGTGTGGACCTAACGGGGCGCCGCAGGCCCCCGCGAGCACCAGGCTGACGGCGGTGGGGAGGGCCCAGGCAGAACAGGCAATGGCAATGGGCACCAATCTGCACAGCTGGCCCCTTCTCTCTAAACCCCTATTTGCTTTTTCTCTCTCATTTTCAACCTGACTGTGAGATGTTGTGTATTTCCAACTTGCTGGATTTAACCCATCTTACTAAGTCATTTATTTCCACTTAATCAGTTAATGCGTTCTGCCCCTCCCAGCCAGGTGGCACCTATAAACTCCGGCGTCCTTCAGAAGTCCCCATGCTGCTGTCGGGGTGGAGCCCTCTGCCCACCACCCACAGTGCACCCTCGCCCCGAGACAGCGGTCACCAGAGCATGCGCCGGGCAGAGCAGCTGGACCTCCTGCCCACACAGACCCCTCCCACACCTCCCGCATCCCGGGGCTGCTTCAGCAGCACCGCCAGGCTGTCCTTAGGAGGGCGAGGGGCTGCACCGTCTCACCCAGGGTGCAGACTGTCCACACAGGCCCCATGCAATGAGCTGCCCCACAGACACCAGGGACACCAGCAGAGACTCCAGAAGGAGGCAACCCAGTGAGAGGACGGCCGTTTCTTCCCCCCGGCCACAGCCGGGTCCTCGTGTGAGCTCCCGCCACACATCCCAGGTCTCCGTGAGGGGCTGTGGGGCTGGGTCCTTCCAGGGAGGGGAACATCGCCGACCCCACGGCTGATTCAGGGCCAGCGAGGACCCAGCTGGGGACTCTGGTGAGCAGGAGGCAACGCTCCAGGCCACGCACCTGCTGGGCTTCAGTCTCAGGGCCGCCGGCCTGCCCGATGGGGCTGGCGCCGTGAACAGTTCGTCCATGAGTTTCCGTGTCACCTTCTTCTTACACAGCAATTCTGCTTCGTGGCGAGTCATTTTATTCTCTAAGCCGATAAGATCAAATATAGAGAGATCTGTTTCCTAAGGAGAAAAACAGCAAAGTTTTGCTCTGGGAGACCAGAGGAAAATGGGAACCCAAGCACATCCCTGATAGGACGGCCAGGCCCACACAGCCTTGCCCCCCGGGACGCGTCCTGACGCCATTCCGGGGCTTGGGCAGGCTGCTGGACCGCAGCATGTCTCAGTGTCCCCATCGTTAGGAGCACCCCCACGTGGCAGTGTGAATGGAGAAGGCAATGCTTGGAAAGAGACTGGACTCGGAAGAGAGGGAGGGGGGTCCGGACGGCGTGAGAGCCAGGCCACGTCAACAAGGGGCACCTTGGGGCAGAGACCCACGCGTAACGGGGAAGCAGAGGTGGGCACGCGTCATGTCACTCGGTCCAGAGCCGTGGGGACGCGCATTCCAACGGGCAGGACACCCTGAGCATGCGCCGGGAAGAGCAGCCGGACCTCCTGCCCACACAGACCCCTCCCACACCTCCCACATCCCGGGGCTGCTTCCGCAGCACCGCCAGGCTGTCCTTAGGAGGGCGAGGGGCCGGACACACTGCCTGAATCCCCAGCTGGGGCATACGCCCCACGTGCCCAGCACCCCCACGTGCTTCTCTAACGAGAAAGCACAGTCGCACTCCCGCTGCGACGTTGAGCATCAAAGTGGACGACGGCAGGTGCTGAAGAGCCCTCCCATGTCCTTGTACACGTGTGGGGGTGTGAAAACCGCCCGACCGATCTTCAAAAGCTTAAACACGGAGTAGGCACACGACCCTGCAATTCCACACCTGACAAGTGCGTGAGAAACATGGAACCTACATCCCCACAGAGCTAGTCCGTCAACGTCCGCAGCAACACTACTCACAACAGCCAAAATGTGGAAGCAACCCAAGTTTGTTAACTGATGACCAGATCAACACGATCCTTCCACACCGGGGAACACGAGCCAGCCTTAGAAAGGAGAGAGATTGGGACACACGCCACCACCCGGATGAACTCTGAAAGCACTACGCTCTGTGAAGTAAGTCAGACACGAGGACCACGTGGTGAGGGATTCCATCCGTACGCAAAGTCCAGAACAGGTGGACTCACGAGGCAGGTCAGGTACAGGGCTGCCTGGGGCGGGGCGGGGGGAACGGGAGGGATGGCTCATGTCTGTGGGTTCTCTCTTGGCAATGACGAATATTCCGGAATCAGCGGTGATGAATGCAGGCAGTTCCCGCTGTCTTACTCGCTGCTGTCCCAGTGGCTGGAAAACTACCAGACACCGAGCACGCCTCAAGGCTTGCTGAACAAATGAGAATAAACACCACAACATAACACACACTCAGTTCTCGGAAGCCAGGCACACATAAGGTTCTTCCCATGGATTCGACACACGCCACGGCCATGGAAGTGCATGATTATCCCTGTCCTGAGGGCACTCAGCCGAAGCCCCCCAACCAGTGCGCAGGATGGGGGGCACGAGGACTCTAGGCCCAGAGCACACAGCAGGGCCCCGCAAATGCGCACAACTCGAAGAGAACCTCACCGAAGACACGAGAGCGGCCCATGACGGCGCTCGCTGAGACACCCACGTGTCCTCAACAGGCCTCACCGTGGCGGGGACCAAGCTCGCCTCCAAACACCCCGCACGCCACGCCGTTCCCCACGCTCCGACAGCACGCGCGATACTAGGAACCCCTCCCCTGCTATTTCCGAGCCAGGGCCTGTCCCCCTCGGGCCAACTGCAGATGCAGACCCCGTGTCAGCCGAAGGCCGCCCAGCACCAGGCGATTCCAAAACGCAGGATGAGCGCGCGGAAAGCAACCTCCCGGAAGCACGGCAGCTGCAACGCGTGGGGAACCGACGTCGGGCGGACACGTACCTTCCAGGAGTCTCCGTCGAGCGCCTTGAGGATGAGGGAGGCAGAGCGGTATTGCAGCGGCCCCGCCGTGTAGGACGACTCCGGGAGCCGGGGCTCCACCAGCCCAGGGTGGTTACAGATCCTCTGCAGCCGCAGCAGGATGCTCAGCACGTCCACAAAGTGCCCGCTCTTCAGCGCCTCCTGCGTTCTGCTCTCGGGAAGAAACACCAGCATTGCCATCGGCGTGTGTACCGTGTGTGCTGCTGAGTCCAGAACACACAACTGCCTCGCTCTCCCCGGTTCTGCTTAGTAACGAGTTCCCTCACAACACTCAGGTCCCAACTGCTCTCCACGTGGCTCTGACTCTCCGAGTGACTCACTGTCCCCCCGAAACAGGCTGGGGGGCCAGGGAGCCAGGAGTGGGGGTCAGATGGGCACGCAGCTCTCCCTCCGAGCTTCCCCTCCCAGCGGAGGACGACACTCGGCGTGGACAGCAGTGACGGATTTCCACCCCACGGTGCTGAGTGCCGTGGAGCGGGGGAGGGCACCAGGGCGAGAGCACCTGACCCAGGGGAAGGAAAGGGCCCTCAAGTGGGACGCCAGCCCCGGCCCTGTAGCCATGAAGAAGGCAGACACATAGGCTAACCGCGTGCGGACCAGGACCACGCAGGAAACACAGTCTAAGCAGAGACCTCCAGGGTCTCCGGGTGAGGAGGAGGGCACAGTGTCCCCAGCAGGTTAGGGAAAGGAGCCATGCAGCACAGGATGGGAGGCAGGCTGATCCACAGAGACCCAGGGGCAGAGGCAGTGGGATGGAGGGACAGGCGGTGGCAGAGAGAACGGCCAGCCTTCCGAGGGAGCAGCAGGGTGACGGGCTACTGTGCTCGAGAACAGGACAGCCTAGAGAGGAGCAAGGGCTCTGGGGACGCCCTGGTGAGAGCAGGTCTGCAACGCTCCAGGGACAGCCCCGGCAGCCATGGGAGAGTGTGGGCCCCTCGGGAGCACGGCGGCAGGCAGGCTGAGCCAGAAGCCAGCAGAAGCCCACACAGGCAGTTCTCAGCCACGGCACAGGGGCTAAACGGGAGGGAGATGTGCACATAGGCCGCAAGCTCGGCTCTGGAGAGCGGGGTGAGGGGGAGGAGGGTATCTAAAGTCACACCTGTCTGCACAAGGACACGCTTCCGAACAAAAGGCTGAAGCACAAGTGAGCCCCAGGACCCCGAGAGAAGCCCCGGAGGGGAAGAGGCTCACACAGCAGGTCTGCGGGGCCCCCAGGAGGGAGGGGGAGACGAGGTCTGCCGAGAAGAGGGTGCACCTCCCGACGGCAGGAACATGAGACGCGGCCACCACACAGTGACCAAAGTGAAGCTCAGAGCCCCCTCGAAGACCCCAGACCATCACATCAACATGCAGCGAGAGACACCCGTCATCAGGAGCTAACGTGAGCTCAGGGAGAGATGAGCTCAACACTTCCCGTTGGACTTGACAGGTTCAGGGGAAAAGAGGCCCAGAGACACAAAGAAGGACAGTCACTTCCTGCTGCTCCATCGGGAGCAGAAGCCACACGACAGCCTAGGTGTGCGGTCACCAGCACCCCACATCCACAGGCAGGACTGACGTCAGCACCTGCCCGCTCCCGAGGCAAGCCCAGCGTGCCCATGGCCCAGCCCTGAAGAGCGACGGCCCGGAGATCCTGAGAACGCCGTCTGCTCCTGGCGAAGGAACGCAAGGGGAGCCCGACGGATGAGCACGGGGCTCCTCCTGCAGGAGAGCAGCGCCCTCCAGCGACCCGGCCCTTCCTAACCTCCAGCCAGTACCCGGACGGGGAGCCGCCCGACAGCCTGCCCCGCCCGCGCTGCAGGCTGCTCGCACCACACGCAGGCCCGGCCCGGCGCGGACGGCTCCGCGGATCCTACTGCCTGTGGAAACACTCGGCCACTGCGGCGCCACTGATGCCATTTCTCAGGGACCGAGACACCGAACCAGGGAGTAAGAATGCACACTTAGGTTCTGTCCTAAAATTCTCCAAACCTAACCCAAAAAAACCAACGTGAAGGGCAAAACCAACGCAGACACGGTCCTGACGATGTTATGAGCGTGAGGATGCGATGCCCAGGGGGGACGGCGCCCAGGGGGCCCAGCAAGACCAGCATGTGCAGCCTCAGGGCAGCCACCCCGGGAGGAGAGACCCAGCCACTCAGGCGGCACGTGCGGCCCGCGTGAGCCCCGACTGAAACACCACAAGCCTCACCCGTGAATTCAGGGAGCGGGCCGGGAGTCAGGCCGGTGCTGGGTCAGCTGGGCAGGGGCAGAGCCCTGGGAAGGCGGGCAGGCTCACGGAGCCCTGGCGAGCGCAGGTTCCAGACGCCATCCCCGCAGGGGGCCGCGCGAGGGCAGAGGCCCAGCACCCCCAGCCGGGCAGGACCCGCAGGCGCGAAGCCGGCTTACCCGGGCTGCAGGATCACGTCCTCATACAAGGCCTTCTGCCGACTCGACAGGCGGCATTTCAGCACGTGCTCGTACTTCTTCGTCAGCTGCTTCTCCACGTCTCTCTTAGTCCTCCTCAAGATAAAGGGCTGTGTCACCTGAGAAGAACACCAGCGTGCGTCGTCCCCTTTCCCAGATGACGTCGCCACACCCAGCCCGCGGCCGCCGCCCGCACGTACCCGGTGCAGCCGGATGACCACTTTGTGGTAGTAGTCCTGGTTCTCGTCGTTCGGGGCCTTCAGGGGCAGGTGCAGGTAGGGCCTGGAGATGCCGGGGATGAGGAAGTGCACCATGGTCCAGAGCTCCAGGAAGGTGTTGTGCAGGGGCGCGTCGATCAGGAGCAGGCGCTGCTGGCTGTGGGAGAGCGAGAGGCAACGCGCCCATGGCACCCGGGAAGCCGGCCACAGGCGCGCTTCCCGTGCAGACGTTCAAGGACAGGAACGACGGGCTCACGGGGCCTCCGGGAAGGGACCTGCGGCCCCCACACACTGAGCGACCACACGCACCCCTCCGCCAGCCACACCCAGGACCCCGAGCGGGGCGGCGGGTCAGACCTCCTCAGGGAGAACACGGCCTCCCAGTGCCTCTCGGTCATGCCGCGGACACGCTGCATCTCGTCGATGACCAGGCAGCGCCACCGCACGCGCGCGAAGGCCGCGTAGCCCCGGAAGAACTGCTTGTAGGGCGCGATGCACACGTTGAAGCTGTTGGGCTCCGTCCACTCCTGCAGCACAGACCAGGCTTCACCTGCGGCAGCGCCCCCTCCGGGCACACAGCCCGCCGCCGCTTACCCTGCGCCGCCCCTGACCGCGCCGCCCGCCACGGCCTGCTCCCGGCCGCGCATCGGACAGCAGAGCTCGTGTTCTCAGGACCCTGTCCTGCAGGGAGTCTACAGCGCTCGTGAACACAAACCGAGAAGCTGCTCTGGGGCATGAACTACGGTTTCTGGAAAACAGGTCACCAGAGCGTCATGAAGGGGAACCAGCTCTCACGGGATGCAACCCGAGCAAGGAAACTACTGAGAAGGGGACGACAAGCAGGAGCATCCGCGCTGCAAAAGACTGCTCTGTAAGCTTTTCAGAAACAAGGAAACAGAAACTACATCCCAAGGTACTCACTTCTCCAGTAACTACTACTCAACACAACAGTCTAACGATGAGGCAAACGTTTATCTTCAATGGAAAACTGTGGCCTCTGATACACTTTCACTCAGAATCTGGTGCTGGACAGAACAGGGCGGAAAGAAGAAACCCCGGCCAGCTCTGCTCCTGTGGCCGGCCTGCGCGTCACCTGTAGCCCTACGGGGTGTTCCCGTGGGAGGCACCTCACGAGACCCCAGCTCAGAACTCAGGGCACACCACAAGTTCCCGTTCACGCCTGTGGTGCTCACTGGGCCTACGGGTGGGAGGGATGGCTCTGGAAGGAAAGCGGCCATGGCCGGGCGTGGGAGGAGCGCCGTGTACGGGGCTCTCCTTGCAGGGCAGGCTGTGCTTTCAAGGGGCTCCAAACCTAGGAACGCCCTGACGGTCCAGTGTCTCACCAACCAGGGGTTTGTGACAAGTACACAAATAAACACATCTCGACATTCTGAAATCTGTCTTCCATACAGAGAAGATCACTCCTGTCCAGTTTTATTTCACGTTTAAGATAAAATACCTGTCTCTTGGCTTTCAGTTCTCTGTGGCTGCCAACATATAAGAGGGTTTTGAGCCCAGGGCACCAACGCTTCAGCTCGAGCTCCCATTTGAGGATGTTACAGCCTCTCACAACCACAAGATGAGGGCCCCAGTTACCTACAAAGGAGAGAAAAGACAGAACCTTCCTCTTTAACCAAAACCACCTAACAAGTCCGGACAACCGGCGCTATGCTGACCAGAGACGCGCGGCAGGTGCACATGGGAAGGCCCAGGGCATGACGCAGAGGCGTCCTCCTCCCTACCACGCAACCACCAGACCTGCGGCCGAGGGGCAGAGGCCTGACACACAGGTCGTGCTCAACAAGAGCTGCTGAGGGGGCCTGAAGAAAGTGAGCATTTATTCAAACGCACAGTGAATCCCACAGCGAGCTCAGGGAAGAACGCGCATCTATGAGAACAGTGCCCAGAAAGCGAAGGAAGCATGCCAACCGGGCGTTCGGACCCAGCCTGGAGCCCTCCCCCAGGGCGGCCGCCAAGTGAGGCACGTTGGCTCAGTCTCCAGTCAGAACACACCCAAACCACCCCAAAGTGGACAGTTTCAACTTCAGTATTCCAAAAAATAATGTTTCAAATCGTTAGAATACACACAAGACAAATCTCCACTTCAGTGCCGTAAATGAGACGGACACCACGTTGGGAGACAGAGATGGCAGACTTGGAAAGGCCACACGCAGGACACGCGGCCGTGGCCAATACCCTCGTGTGCAGAGCACGGCCTCCTGGGCTTACAGAAGAACCACCCAGGAGGGACGTGAACGAGGATGTAAACAGATGCAAGAGGACAAAAACTCTTTAGCAGGCGCACACCATGAGAAGAGAGATGCAAATCAACCCCAGATGCCCTTCCCCCCGCCAAGGAGAACCACGATTTTTTAAAAACCAGCATTTAGAACATTGTTCCACGTTTGGTTTTCTGCAAGGCCCCCTACCCCTGACACTGTCGGGGCCCAGCGTGGGCCTCCTGAGGGAGGGGCTCTGCTCTGCTCACAGCCTCACCCTCGTGCCCAGGCCGGTGCCTGGGGCAGCACGAGCACCAGGCAGTACCTAGACTTGGAGGGACTCACGCATTCACTTGTTCAACTGATGAACTCAGAGCCCCTGTTTTTGCAAGTGTAGGCTGCTTCCAATTTCTTACTATTCTAAATACAATAATGGACAACTTTTCCACCTAAACAATAAGACAGTAAGGCCAGGTGGTAGTTTGAAGTAACTGTATCTATTAAAACAGATTTTAAAGTGCTACTCTGAAAATTTCATGACACTGGGTCAGAAAACAGAAACAAATTAATGCAAGAAAATGAGGAGCCGTGATGTCAATCCGTTTGTATTTAAAAACTGAGGAGGCGCCTGGGTGGCTCAGTCGTTAAGCGTCTGCCTTCGGCTCAGGTCATGATCCCAGGGTCCTGGAATCGAGCCCCGCATCGGGCTCCCTGCTCCGCGGACAGTCTGCTTCTCCCTCTGCCTGCCCACTCATGCTCTCTCTTGCTCAAATAAATAAAATCTTCTAAAAAAAAAAATAAAAAGTAAAAGAAAATAAAAACTGACTGAGATTGATGAAGCTTTTCACACAGAGGGCAAAAGGAGGCGCTGCTAGCTAGTGATGGGAAAGGCGCAGCGAGCCAGGGGAGAAGGAGGAAGAAGCTTCCCCGGGTCGGGGGCGGGGGGGCGCTCATCACCTTCTGCACACCCCATCTCATAGGTCTGCTGAATGTCGGTGGTTTCCATGAGGCCTGTGGAAGGATGCCACCTCCCTAATTTAAAGAGTCCCCTCCTGGCTTGTGAAACTCCCCAAAGGGGAAGAGAACGCGTATGCTCTTCTGGTCAGCTATCCAGGAGCCCGCTCAGGCTGCATCTGGAACACTCCCTTTGCAAGAGAAACACTACAGCTGACCCATGAACAACGTGAGTATGAACCACACGGGGCAACGCAAGCCCCCGCAGATTTTTTTCAATATGTACAGTACCGTATGTTCTCTTCCTTATGATACTCCTAATGACATTTTCTTTACCCTGACTTTACTGTAAGAACACACTACATAATGCATAGAACATACAAAATACGTATTAGTCACCTGTTCGTGTTATCAGGACAGCTTCTGGTCAACAGTTAACTATCAGTAGTTAAGCTACGGGCAAGGCACGCATTATACGTGGACTGTTATCTCCGTGGGAGGTCAGTGCCCATGACCACCACGTTGTTCCAGGGTCGCCTGTACGTAAGACCTGTCCTGTGTCAGAGACACAGGCACACGCCCTTCTACAACCCTCAAAGGCACAGAGCAGGAAACAAGGCAGGCACCTGGCCCACAGACAGAGGAGGGCACGTGCGGGGGCAGATCCCTGAACATGCCAATACAGAGGCCACGGGGCCTGGACCAATGTCACGTGAGCTCAGAGAGTCCGGGGTGGACAGCCTGTTGCAGGGGAGGCAGGCACTCTGTGTCTGCTGCGGTCCAGCTGCCGGGCCCGAGCAAGGCCCAGACAGCACCCACTAAGGAACCCCAGCAGTGGGGCAGAAGTGTTGTGGGTGGTGGAGCCCGGCCGGGAGGCAAGGGGTGCACGTCACTGCTGCACGGGGAAGGCTGACACGTGGCCAGAGCTGCTCGGCACACAGGTGTTGGCTGGCAGGGGACACTGGAGTCACACAGCCCGGTCACAGCCTGGTGGGCCTCACAGTGTGCTGGACTTTGAGTAACAGTGAGCTCGATCCAGTGTTAACTGCCAACAAGTTTTTCACTTGTTCATGCAATGAGTATTCCTGAGCTCTGTTCTCCTGGGTAAAGGAGCCCTCCACAGGGCAAAGGAGCAAAAAGAAAGGCCACTTTCCACCCTCATGCCAGATGCACTGCCGGCAGGCAGTCTTAGCAAGTACGTACTCCTCAAAAAGACAAGCTCTTACCTTCATTGCAAGCTAGGTGGGCAAAAAAAGCAATGATCTGCACTGTTTTACCAAGCCCAGCTTCATCTGCCAATATGCCATTGAGGTTCTTCCGGTAGAGCTTGGCCAGCCAGTCCAGGCCAATCTTCTGGTAATCTCTGAGCGCACCGTACAACAGTGATGGGGCATTCAATTTCACCTGCAGCAACACACGGGCCAAATACGCACTTCTCAAAATAATCACCCGAAATTTTTCTGCAACGCGAAGTCGAATCAGTCAAATGGCGAGCCTACTAGAGCACCACAGAAAAGATCTAGAGATGAAAGAAGAAGCAAGGCCAGTATTCGCTTTTCCTGACAACTTCTGCAGCTGGGACAGAGCTATGGGGAAGTACACCAAGCCTTTTCTCAGCCTCACAAAGACACCGCCCCCCACGTGGCAGCTCAGTGCCTCACCGTGGGGCTGACCCGGGCACTGCCCTTGGGCAGGACAGCTTCGGCCACAGCGGTCACCTCCGCGATGTCCTTTGTATGAGGGTTCCCAATAGTCATTCTCTCTGCAGCTTTGAATTGGTCCATGATGAACAGCGATTCTATGAGAACCACATCCTTCCGGCTCTCTCGATCACCCGGGGCGTCTTCCACATCTGTGAATAAGAGAAAAACAAGAGATTTGCAGTGGCTGCAACAGTTTTATGAGCCTACTTATCATTTATGAAAAGAAATAAAAGGGAAAAAGTTGACAGAGTCCAAATATTTCAAATGGTGTATTTTCATTTTGTTTTGTTTTTAATCCACTTTATATACCTAAGAATACTCCCCAGATCAATGGGTATAAACTCCCACAAAACTATCACACATAGGAGCATTCTGGAAAGCCCTCAGGTGAAGATGGAGAATCTGTAGCGAACCAGGAGCTGCTATCGCCTGTAGACGTATGGGCATCTAAGGGCTTAGTGACCACCCCTCCAACACCAGGAAAGGGGAAAGTCACCAGCGTCTCTAAGGACCAGGAAGCAAGGAGGCCACCAGCCCATCCTCTGGCCCTGCCAGCCCCTAGCTTCTCTGCTCACAGGAATCTGTGTCTAATGATCAGAACAAGTGGAATGAAAACAAGGAAAAATAGACTTTTTTTGGTGTGTACTTGTTTAGATCATCCAATCAAAGTAAAATAAACTCCTCAAAACTAGCACATTAAACAAACATAGCCTACCCTGAATATATATAATAAAGATGTAAGTCTGTAGAACAATGACTTTTATAAATGCGGAGAAAAATATTTCCACATCGTTTACAAGTCAAGTACTCTTATAATTATGCCAAACTAATAAATGAAAATAAAAAGCACAGAATTTAACCAAACCCTAGCAATACAAAATTACACGTTAAACGTACTTGCATGTTTTTATTTCATTTTATTTACTTTTTGCTTTTTTAAGTAGGGTCCACGCCGAGCATGGAGCCCAATGTGGGCTCCATCTCACAACCCTGAGATCAAGACCTGAGCTGAGATCAAGAGTCAGACGCTCAACCTACAGAGCCACCCAGGTGCCCCCACATAATCGCTCGCATGTTTTTCTTCCTTCAGACTAAAAGGAAATGAAGGTGACTTAAATCCTGTTGTAAGAACACCCTTCCTCTGCGTATTTTGGCTTTTGCTTTATGGGTGAGTTCTTGAAAGATGTCAACACAGACCTTCTTCTTCACTCGCCTCCTCACTGTCAGGCTTAGGTTGCGGCCACTGGAAACTGGGCAGAAAAGCTCCTTCGTACAACTTCATCAAATCGATTAGGGGCAATTCAGCTGGAAAGGATCGCGGGAAGAAAGGGGGTTAGCTCACACCAGGAGTGGCAACCAGCTGGGAAGAAAACAAAGCTGCAGCCCTCCTGCAGTTAGTTTTTTCCAAAAGTAACTATTGCCCGTTACTGATACTGGGTCTAAGGCACTTTCTTTATAAATATGAGAATCTTGGACATGGCATGAAAAAACTCAATTTTTACTCATAAGAGAATTTTTAAGATTTCTAAAATAATCTCATAAATGAAAAGTAAAAACTATAACCTCATAAATATAACAATAAAAACACCATCAACGGGAAATAATTGGTAATATGAAAAATAGGAAACATCAAATAAAAGTCAAACAAAATTAAAGCAGAAAAATGCTGTAAAAAGCATGTAAAAAGGTTGCGATCCCTTCTGCAGAAAGAGCTTGCCCGAGCAGACTCCCAGCCGGGCTCCTCCGTTTCCGCCCACGGACTCCGACCCGCCGGAGGCCCACACTGTCATTGGAAAGCCGCAGCAGCAAGGACACAGACAGGGCCCCCAAGGAGGCCCCGAGGAGCGCCGGAGCCGTGGAGGGAGCAGCCGCCGCAGGAGGAGGTGCTCCCTTCCAGAGCACAAACATGCGGGGCGCCCGCAGCAGAACGTCTAAATCCATCCGTCCCTGCAAGGAGCGCAGCAAGAGGGCCCCGGTTAGACAGGCAGAGCGGCTCTCCGGAGGCCAAGAGGCCATGCCCACGGGGGGGTGAGCTCCGCGGGAGCTGCACTCCCAAACTCAGCAAACACACCACTCACTACAACTCTGAAACAGACAAGGCACCTAGATATTAATCTCACAAAAAAACACACAATCATAAAATGTCCCTGCAGGCTCTTGAAGGCAACCTGCGTGGACAGACGGGCAGGTATGCTGCGATCAGGGACCAGAAAAGCTCAACTTCGTCAAGATGCACGTGTCAGCGATCACCCTGACTCCAGGCCACCAGTCCCCACGGATGTCTATCTGAAACTGGATGAGTGGATCCTGAGGCGCACCGGGAAGAGACCCGAGGCGGCCAAGGCCGTCCTGAGAAGACTCAGGTGCAAGGACCCCCTAGCCAGCTCTCGGGAACGACCACGGAGCCCAGGGACACGCGGGCGGACCGGCTGCACCACAGAGTTCGGGAAAGAGCCTACGCTCCACAAACTTGCCTGCCATCTGAGCTGGCCGGGACCAGCTGGGGCAAAGACCGGCCTTTCAAATGGTGCCAGGACGACTGGGATCCGTTTTGGAGAAAGAAAAAGAAAAGAAAAAAAATTGCACTCTTATTCCACACAACAGACAAAAGCTATTCTTGATGGATCGGAGACATCGATATGAGAGTAAAATTAAAAATCTGTGGGCAAACAGGAAAACCACCTCATGATCTTGAGGTAAAAAGAGATTTTTTAAAATAAGACTGATAAATCCAACTACGCTAAAATTAAGAACGCCCGTTCCCCAGAAGGCCCCACAAAGAGACTGGAAACACACGGCACGCGCCGGGAGGGGGCCGCTGTGATGCATGTGACCACAGAGAAGCCCCCTGTGGGACACACAACGCACGCCTGCAAGCTGACGTGGAAAAGACAGACCGTAATGGAAAAGAGGCACACCTCGTCAGCTCTCAGAGCGGCGCCGCCCGCAGGCACGCAGAGACGCCGTGTCCCCTCAGCGGGTGGGCAGCAGCGCCCCGACGTGGGGGGCTTGGAGCGAGCCCTGCAGCCTGGCCAGCCTGGCCCAGCGGACCGTGTGTGCGCCGACCCAGCCCTCCGCTCTGGCACACGCACGCATCCGCGGGCACCGGCCACAGGAACGCTCCCGCTGCACCGAGGGTGCAACAGGGGACAACCGAAAGCCCAGCAGCAGCCCAAGACGGAGTCTGTAACACGCTCACATCTGGAACGCAGCTCAGCAGTGAGGGCGGGCAAAGCCGCAGCGACTACCGGAGCCGAGGGAAGGAGCGGCAAGGCCAGGGCGCGATGCCGTTTAGACGCCGTGTCCCCGGGCGAGCCCAGCGGCGCGCCGGGCCGTGCTAAGTGGCAGGCAGCCAGAGCGGAACGATGAGCCCCCAGGGCAGGTCACCGGCCAGCACGCGGCGCTCACGCACTCTGTCCCGCACCGCCGGTGTGCGCCTGACGCCAGTGCTCGAGGATTTGATCGGGCTTTTAGATGTCACACGTTCTCGTGTGCACGCTCGTTTCCTAAGAGCATCTCCAGTGAGACGCTCAGAGCCTACCTTCTTTGGCTAAGTTGGACAGCTCTGCCTGGTGGTCCACGGCCCCCTCGTTAGCTTCTTCCTCCTCTATGGTCTCCTCCTCGTCTTCCACTGAAACGGTCACCACCAGACGTCAGGGACACAGACCTCACTGCGCCTTCTCAACTGCTCATGAAACACTACCAGGCTCCAGACTGACTTGCACAGCTACGAGAGAGCTCAACGAGACCTTTTTGTTTCTCCGGTTAAATTTGGAAGTGCGGGTGTACTAAGTGAGCAGGGTGTGAAACACAGCCCGGCTCTTCCTTACACGACGGACCTACTCCAGCAGAACACGGAGTGATGTCAAACTTCTCATCCACCTGCTGACGCCACAGCAGAAAAACCCAGGAGCAGGCTGTCCGGGGTCACGAGGACTCTTGTCATCGCCCACATCAGGGGCCCCAGCCACCTGCGCGGCATGCCATTCCCTCAGCTTGGCTCCCGTCCCGTGCAACCACCACCTCCAACTAGGTTGGCCCCACACCCCGTACCTCACCTCCAGCAGAGACGTGGCTCTGGGTGAGAAGAACCCACCGGCAACCTACGGCAGAGCCAGCCCAGCTACGGCCTACCCCCCCCTTCTGAGCACAAGCGCTTGCCCCCGGGGGCCCTGCCACCAGACCACGCCTTTTCTCCTGCCTGCCTCCACCCTTCCCTGCTGACTCCTCCACGCAAACAAAACGTCCACGAGCGTCCACGAGCGGCCCTGTGCTCTCCCTCCTCCACAGTCTGGCTCATTTCTGCAGACCCCCTCCCAACCCCCAAGGCGCCTGGCCCCCGATGACACAAGTCACTGGGCCACCAGGCACCGTGACAGCATGGAGCAAGCACTGGGCCTGCAGTCTCAGAGAGCCCGCCCTGCAGATGGCAACAGAGTACCAGGAGACAGACCTTCGTCATCAGTCAGAGACGTGCTAGCTTTCCTCTTCCTTCCAGACAACCCCGACTCCTGAAACAGAGAACAAAACTCGCAAACACAGAACGGGAAACCAAAGCAGAAACGTCTACTTCACACGCTCCCGGGAAGGCAGTGGCGAGCCCGGGGCCAAACACGCCAGCCCCCACTGCCGCCAGGTACAGGAGAGGCGCTGGGCAGCGGGCAGGTGGGACTCCATTCAGTCACCATGTCTTCCCTTGTCCCCAGATCAACACCCTATGGGAGCCTAACACTAAGAACCAAGCTTCTTCCCCAAAGTAAACCGACTCTGTAACGGAGAACGCTACGGACGACGTTCACGCTTCTCCAGACAAAGAAAGGGACCCTGCTTTATCAGGCACCGTGTCTTCTCCACGGTTTCCCTCTTACCTAGTACAGTAGTCCTCGACTTACCAGGAAAGCTTCTGGCAACGCATCAAGCCCCTTAGGCCTCGACTCTTTTCCTAGAGACAAGGAACATGATTCAGTTTCACCGGAGCTCCTGTGTAGGCCGCGCCCCACGGGCACCTCCTCACGGGAGGAAGACAGCAAGCGTGAGCTCCGCCTCCTTCCCTCTGGGAACCGGGGCGGCAACACACCGCCAGCCGCCAGCCGCCAGCCCCCAGCCCCGAGCCTACAGAGTTCTCCGGCAGCTCTCCACACGTCTCTGATCTGGAGAGGGACCGGGGAGCTAACCGGCAAAGTGCGTCTTGTACGCGCTCTACAATCTCACGGGTGTATGAGTCTGGGCAGAGCCCACCGCTCCGCCCCCACCTCCTCACCGACAGACTGAGACACCCCATGCCCCCCGCCCCGTGACAGCCGCTCCCGCCGGTGCCTGGCACGCATCACGGTGTCCGGTGATGGGGAGGCGCTGCCGAGGCTGTGCTCCGACCACCGAAGTGCCCCACGGGGGCAGACACCTGCGGGAGTTCATCTCAGTGTCCGGCACTGGCCACAGGGGACAGGAGCCCCAGTCCCGAGACGGCCCCAGAGCCGATCAGAGAGCCTGGGGTGCCGACTCGCGCCAGCAAACCTCAGCGAGCTGAGGCACACAGCTTGAGCAGCTGCGCGGGGGAGCGTGGCGTCGGGCAGAGCACGAGCCCGGTGGGGCGAGCAAGCGCCCCGGTGCCACCCCCGGGTAGCTGCGGGCGAGCAGGGAGGCCAAAGAGCCGTCGGGAATGTGACGGCTTTTAAAAACGTATCCTACCTCTCCTGGGAACCTTCTGTAAGGTTAGGGCCTTTTTCCTTTTTTCTTCCAGTTCTACTTGTAGTTTTATCTCCACAACCTGAGTACAGAGTGGAATAAAGACGTCACTGAGGATGGACCGCACGGACAACGTCGCTTCAAGTCACTTCAGATGAAACTCTCGGTTTGGCAGGCAGTCAGGTGTTGTGCAGTCACGTGCCACCGAGTCCCACGGGGGCTGGGGGGGGGCGCGTGCTCTGCACCAGGACACGCGCGGCAGGAAACCAGCCGCCCTCCGTGCCTAGCGCTCACGCCGAAGGAAACACTGGACGGCCCCTCGCCAACCGCACGGAGCTCGCGGCCACGGCGTGCAACACGAGCACAGAAGAACCTCGGGCACACGCTCCTCTCCCAGCTGCCGCCGCAGGCGCAGCCTGCCCGGGCTAGCGCGTCTCTCAGTCAGGCACGGGCAGAAGGCACAGCCTAGGTCTTCAGGACCCTGTGCAAATTCCAGGATTTACCTGTTCAATATTTGACCAAAAACACTCTATTTCTCTGGCGGTTGAGGCAGCGATTCGTCTCAGTCGGTTCTGCTCCTCTTTCCTTCCCCTCTCCTCACGAAGCTTCTTTTCCTCGTGGTGGCGCACCGCGGTCCTGATGAGCTAGTGAACCAAAGGTCGCGGACTTGGCACCGTGCCGCGGCAGGCGGACGCAAGTGCACAGATGCGCAGGGGCTGCGCCTTCGTCCGCCTGGCGGGCGCAGGACACACGCCCACAGCAGCACCAACACCCGGCTTGACTTTCTACAAAGGGTTATTTTACTAAGTACGCTTGTTTTTCTCCAAAGAGCGTACCATACTGTGTTACAATCGTCTCTCCTCATCTGACGTATGACTAACACCTTTCCATCAAGCAGGGTAACTCTTCCAACAGGCATCCCCTGCACTGCACGAATGCAGTGCGACGCATTGACCCGCTAGGCATGCAGTGTCGGGTGGGACGAGTCGTGGTTTCCAAGGCCTTTCCTTTAAATCCGCTTTCCGGGACCCATGCTCCTACATCCTACCAGCAGTCCTCAGACAGGTGCTGAGAAGGACTTGGAAACAGACACGCTGTGAGCCTGAGCATGCCTGGCGTGGGCCCCCCACGCCGGGGGAGAAGCTCGCTGGGGGGGCCTGTTGGACACTGTGGCCGGCCCCCCTCCCACAGACTCCTCAGGGCCTCATCCTGGCCCAACCACAGCCCGGGCACAGAGCCTCCTGCTCGGGGTCTGCAGTCTCTCCCAGAGAGGGCAGCTCCGCTGCCGAGCCCCGTCCACCTGGTGCCCACACGCTCAGGACCATCCTCCTTTACAAAAAAAGCATGCCTCAGGAGCAATCGGGTTTTTCTGGATTCCATGCATCTGATTTGAGACCCCCGCCTACATAGGGAAAGCAGAGTTCAGAGAGGGAGGTGGTCAGCAGGGCACACGGGACCTCTCCCCAGGCCTGAGAGCACGGGAAATGAAAAGAAAGCAGCTCCGCCCCGAGGAACAGACGGTGGTGCAGTGACGTGAGAGAAGCAGGGCCCAGAGCCATCTACACGCACGCGAGGACAGCTGCTTCGTACTCTGAGACCTAAGGTTTCTGGAACTCTGTCCCTTTCCGCATTCCTAGCAGCGGCAGCGCCATCTGCTAGAGGCTCCCCAGCACTGGGCGTCTGCTTTGGGACCAGTGAGAAGGAAACAAATCCTAAGCCAGAACTGGGGGAAGCTGGACAGAAGACCAGGGCAGTGGGCAGCCTGAAGGCCCAGGACGGGCCCCCAAGCTGCCCACCAGCCGACCAGCCTCTCTGCTCCCTCCCAACCCTGAGCCTCCTCGGCTCCCGCATGACAACATCCCCAGCACCAGCCTGGGCCTGGGGGCTGCAGGCTTTCCAACCACCAGGAGAGACTGGCAAGACGCAGCCCCGAAATGCAGGACGTGTCTGCCCCCCAGTGTGCACCCCGGAGCTCTGCAGACAGCCCCTCACAAGCAAACCGCACCGCACACTGACTTCCTAACAGTGCCAGAGCACTCTTCGCGTTTCGGAGCCAGACCCCTCCGAGTTGGCCTGGACGCTCCCACGTCCGGCAGTGTGAACGAGTGCCACCACGCATGCCTCACCCACCTTCCTGGCCGCGGCCATCTTCCACCTCCTCTCCTGGGCAAAGTCTGTGGCCATCCACTGCATCTCCTCCAGCAGGTAGTCCCAGTGCGATTTGGGGCGCGGGGCCTCCTGCAGTTTGGGCAACCGCCTGAGGGACCACAGGCCTTCTTTCCTCAAATCTGCTATTCGCTGATGGATCTGGTTTTCCTGCAAGGAGCGCAGGGGTGGGGTGCATCCCCACGTGATTAGTAAGTGCATTCCACTAGTTCAGACCCCAAATTCGGGAAGCCTCGATAGCAAAGACAGGACTGGACGCAAAGTTCGAAAGTGGCCCTAGAGAGGTCAGCAGGCATGCCCCCTCCCCAGAAGCAGGGGAGGCAATGGCCACACCCCGTCTCCAAAACACAGACAGAACACACAGGCCACTGTCCACACCAGAGCACTTGCAAGGGGAATTACACAGGCCTGGCCCCTGCTCCAAAACCACTGGGAAGGGCAGGGACAGGCCACACACTATCCCTGAGTGAGCACCGGACAGCAGAGAGCACTAGGGTTCCAACAGCGGTCTTGTTACGTTCAATTCCCCCCATGAAATTTAAACAACTGCTTAGTCACCCCACAAACGGCAAGCGCTAACTGGGGTGCCGGGCCACGGCCACACCGGCCTCGGCGGTCCTCCCGGCCCCGCCCTGCAGCCCGGGCCTCACCGCCTGTGAGGGCGGCACAGAAAGCACATGCCCCCCACAAGCCCACTTCCACCAGGACGGGAGAGGCTTCCCGGCTGTAACCCTGGTTTCTAAGTGGCCAGAAACCATGTCTGACTGTCCTCATTACCGAGTGCTCGGTTTTAAACTACTGCATGCTTTGCAGAAACTGAAATCGAGTAAGCTTCACGAACTACAGCACATTTGACAACCTTCTCGGCATTCTACGTGCGCTTACCAACGCTATTTGTTCTGCCACCTTATCCTGAGAGCTGTCTTGGGGCGGAGCGGCATTCTGAGCTGGGCTCTGTGGTTTTGGGGGTGCTGACACGGCTGCCCCCGGGGACCGGGAGGTAACCGGAGACAGTGACTTGCTGGCTGCCGAGGAGGGTCTATTCCCTGCGGAGACCCGTGCGGGTGACGGGCCTGAGCCGCCGGCAGGAGCTGCGGACGAGGTAGAAGAGGCCGCTGGCGGGGGACGCTGACAGGGCTGGGCAGGGTCCACGGGGGCTCTTGTCGACGCCACCGTCTGGCAGGCAGAAAACAGGCCGGCAGTGAACAGGAGACCTCAGCCCCCCTCATGCAGCCACACGCCAGAGACCGCGTGGCCCACAGAGGTGCGCACAGGGGAGCCCCTCCCGCAGCGGAGCAAAGGAGTTACGCGCACACAGCGCACGGACACCGCCCGACCATGCCCGCGAGTGTAACGCGTCCCTTCACTCCACAAAGCGGCACGAGGGGTGCGTCACAAGCCCGGCTTTCATACGCCGTCTTATCCCATGGAAGCCTTTTCTTGTTTTTTGCTTTTTGTAGCTGTTTCTCCTGTTTAAATTATTTTTTAGAATTTGTAACTGCATAAGCCTCTTCTTAACTGAAAAATACCGAGTGTTCATCTTGTACCTTTCCCTTGAAAAGTGAACACCGATTCCGCGTGCCCCTCTCACGGCAGGGAGTCTGTCAGGTTAAAACTCTGTGTACAGCAGGGGACCGCCTTCCACCCTGACTGTGGACAAAGCTGAGCTCCTACAGGAATGCTGGGCAGGGGGCAGACAGCAGAGAAGGCAAGGTGCTACCCACAACGTAAGAGGCACATCTGTAACCTGGAACCCGGGGAGGACACCGACAGAAACACTCTCTGTACCCAGGCAGTGTGCCATTTCTGCCTCCCCCTCACCTAGTCTCCTCCGACCGCAGCCGGCCTCCCGCTCTTGGGAGAAAGCTCCAGTGGCACCCGGCCAGAGCCGGGTCCTCTGGGGCTGCTCGCTATCCACAGCAGAGCTCAGTGAGGGCAGCGGAGACCTCGTGGCCCGCAGGCCTGACGTGTTTTCACGTCCCCTCTTTGGGGCCCTTCCCAGGAAACGTCTGCCAGCCCTACCCAATCTAGGAGGGACAGGTTTCCATGGGCTTTGTAAGGAGCTGATCCTTTCAACAACAAGGGCAAGTAAAGGAACCCAAGCAAAACGCCGGTGCTGCCTGAAGTCAGCTGTGCGGCTCAATGAGACAAAGTACTGGAAACAGACTGTTTCCATAAAAATGTAACCAAAGCGGTGGTGGGTCCCCAGGGTATGCACAAAGCGGCCACGCAGGCCTGCACAGAAGGATCCAGAATCCGTCAGGGCGCAGTTAGCTCCTCCAGCCACGGGCTGCACGATCCTGCCAAGTCACTTAAGCCACTCGGGTCTTTTTACGGTAAAATGGGGATAATAGAGATTCTACACCCTAGGCTTGCCGGGCAGAGAAAATAAAACGATGCCAATGAAGTCTCCCCACAGTGCCCGCGGCCCCGTATGTGGTGCGCACAGGGCAAGTATGCGGTTACCCCACCACCACACAAGGTCAAAGCTCGCCATCAATCTCAAATAGCCATAAAGCCCCTGACCTGAAAGCCCCCCTAGGAAAGCCCCTTGTTCATGAGGGAAACGGCAAGGGAGAGGGGAAGGCTTCCCAGCTGACTCAATCACACAGGCCAAGACAATTCTCTGAGAGCGCCACCTGCCGTCCCTGGGGGCTCCCGGTGGTTCGCACTCACTTTCGGGGACTCACCGCTCCTTAGGAACGGCGAGCAGCTCCCTGTACACTTTCCCAGCACTCAGTAGGGGAGGAGGGGCGTCGCACAGCGCCCAGGAGGGAGAGGCGTCCGTGGGGGGCCCAGCAGCCGGCCGGGCGTGGACAAGCGTCCCCACTGGCTCGCTTAGCCATGCAGCCCGGAGCAGCCCCGCACTCCCACAGCCCCCCTCGCACACTGGTGGGCGGGCGCCTGCCACCCGCCCCGCATCCCTGGACGCATCAGCTGGGACAACGGCCGCGACGCCCTCTGCACGGCCGCCAAACCACAAGCAGCAAGTAAACTGTGCTGTTCGCTGGTGTCTCCACAACGTAACGGCGGCTACAGAGCTGGACAAAAGAACGCTGGGCGACGTGCCGGTTCCAAGCGGACAGCAAGCCACCTGGAGGGCGGGGCGGCGTGCAGCCTACACCTGGCTTTTCTTCTGTCTCTAACCAACGGGACAGGCGCCCACCAAGTACCTGCGGCTGGGACGAGAGCTGAGCGGCCTGCATCTGCGCCTTCCCAGGCATCGGCGCGTGCAGGGCCTGCGGCATGGGCTGCGGCGGCGGAGCGGGCAGCTGGCTGGGTGGGGGCACGGGGACAGGGGCACTTGGCTGCTGCGTCTTCGCCGGGACCTGGAGCTGCGCATGAGGCTCCACCACCTGCGGCTGCTGAGGGAAGTGCAGTGCTGGCGGCAGGGGGGCGGTGGGGAGGCCGGCCGGGGGCAGCCTGCCGGGGAGCTGCGGCGGCGGGGTGTGCAGGCTGGCGGCATTCTGCACCGGGGGCCCCGTGGACGGGTCGTACTGCTGCTGGCTTGGCTTCTGTCCGGCGAGCTGAGCGGCCTGGGGGGCAGGAGGCATTCCTCCTACAAGACAGGAATAGCCCCGGCAGCGCTGAGTTTGGAGCCCGGAGCACCTTACCGCGCAGCGACCTCACGTCCCGGTGCTCGTCACAGACCCGTTACTCAGAGCCATCACGCACTCCAACGGGAAATTCTGTCGGCGGAAACTTCTCTTACGTTACCTCTGATGTTACGGATGAGCACACAGAGAAGGAAAGGAAAGCGCTCGGCCCCTGCAAGCTCGCACCAAGCAGGGCAGGCACGGCAACCAGCGCCCCGAGCGCGGCAGCGAGCGGAGGAGGGGAGCCCAAGGACAAGGAGAGGCCCTCTCCCTGCCCGCACCAGAGCTCAGAGCCAGGCCCCAGCCCCAGAAGCCACTTTCACCGCCTGCTGCGACCGTGCTGGTGCCGGCCAGATGCCGGGCCGCGAGGCCTCTCCCTGCACGCGCTCCTTCTGAGCTAGAAGGGTCAGTGCCGCGCTGGGCCTTACCTTGAGCTGTCGGCATTAGCTGCTGAAGAGGAACCCCTGCATTCGCCCCCGGGTGCTGGAAAACTGCCCCCTGGTGACCCACTTCAAGCCGAGGCCGCTTAGACTGCTCTAGAATAATTTTCAGAAAAGGTGCAGTTTGATGTAAAAACAAAACCACAGAAGTAGTAGAAAAAACATGTGTCAGTGTTTTTATAGTCTTTGAACAGGGAAGCCCTTCCATATGTGAACCAAAATCCAGAAGCCAGAAAAGCTAAGGTTGATAATTTCTTTCCATTAAAATTTCGCAACTGTAAGCAGCAGCCTCATACAAAAGCAAGGGCGAGTGACACCCCAGGAGACCGCGGTGTCTGCAGCACACGTGTGGGCGAGAGCCTGGCGGGGCTGCCACGTGGAAAGCTCTTCCAAGTTCACGTGAGAAGTGCCAGCAACCAGACACACAGAACGGGCAAAGAGCAGAAACGGCTGAGCAGACGGACAGAGTCACAAAGAGTTAATGACACGGCAAGGGACCGAGCAACCTCATCCAAACTGAAGAGCTCCACAGCACAACAGAAGACCTGTGTTTACCCAGCAGATCAACAAAGACCAGAAGAGTGATCGTGCCTCATAAACTGGCCAAAACACAAGAGCACCAGAAACTGTAGATGGGACTGAAGAAGGGCTGGCCCTTCTGAGGGGCCACGTGCGTCCCCCATGTGCTCTGACTGAGCACTTCCATGTCTAGGAGCTTCTCCCTTAGATACGGTGACAAACATGTCAAAAAAAATCTAGGAGTAGGAATTCAATCCCGTGTTCACGGAAAAAGGTGGTAACAAAAAGGACTACCGAGGGTGTGATGAGGGAAGGACCCCCATGTGCTCGGGGAATGCACAGCCGTCAGGAAGACTGTGGTCCTGAGCAGGCGGCCTAGGAAGTTACTGCTGGCGACAGAACAGGGCACAGGAAGCGCACTCCCATTCCCTCAGAATGACCGTGTGGCACAACGCAAGCCTGCGGGCAGGAGGTCCGGCACGCAGACGTCAGCAGCAGCTACCTCTGTGGCTGGGGAACAGGAAGGGAACACCAAAGCAGAGGGAGACTCGACTCACATCTTCCTCGACTGCCCACATCTTCCACATAAAATGTGTGTTTTATAATTTGAAGAAAAAATTCAGTTTAAAAAATACGAGTGACAACTTGAAAAATAAGGCAGTTTTACCCTCAATCCTACCATGAGGACTAAGAGCCCGCCAGCGCACAGAAAACCGCACTCAATGGGCAAACTTCTACCTTCAGTACACACACATACAGCCACTCACATGTTCTCTTCAGCTGATAATCAGCACAAAACAATTAATTCTCAAAGTGGAAAGAAAGTCACCAAAACTAAGCACGTCAGCGTTCATGTGGCCGCTACGCTGTACGTCCCCTCAGGCCACTCGGGCCGGTGCTCCAGGACGTACCTGCCGGGGTCCCCGCCTGCTGCCTCTTAAAGGGGTCCGTCTCTCCCACACTGCCGGCCCCCGCCACAAGGGCCCCTGCCAGAGCTGGCTGCTGAAAGAGAAAATGAAAACATGAGACTCTGATCGTGTAGGTGCCTTACAAGAATGGGTATGAACTAAACTATCGTAATTATTCCACACACTGGCCTCCCTACTCTCTAACTGGAGAAATGTGATCTGCCCAATGCGTGTAATGTATGTGTATACATAATAAAGAACTTGAAGTTCTAACTTACCTCTGGAGGAAGAAAAAAGGACTCGTGAAAGATCTTACTCTGGTTTTAAATGGAGTCCCTATCAGTGCAGATCTACATTCCCTCAGAAATGAAGAGAGACGGCACAGGACTGGCCAGTGTCGGGAAACACCAGTCCTCAATCCGACAGCTGAGCCTCCCTGTCAGTCACGCTGCCTGTCATCACTTGCCCCCCAAGACACAAAAGCTGAGTAAGAAAAAGAAAGGTGGACAATTTCTTCCTCCTGGAAAATGACACGAAAGCCCTACTTAGCAGACAGCGATCTGATGAACTTGTCACCTGTGACAAGCGAGCACCCCACCTAGCTGGGTGATGCTGGGTCACACGCATCCAGGTGACGTGCACTCTGCTGACACGGAAAGTTTCTGGCATACACAGGAAGTGGCCGAGTCGGGGCGCCCCACGCCTTCACATCTCTGTACCGTCCTTGCGGGGCTGCTAGGTGCTAAGGATGACGTTTACCAAGCACTAGTTGCTAACTGTTTTCAGGGTCCCACTCTGTCCGCTCTACTTAGCCAGGCACTCTAAGTGCTGAAGTTACACACGCCGACACCAGGTAAGCGCCCCCCGGGGGGGTGCCTCTCCGCCAGCACCCCAGCCACACCGCAGGTCAGGGCCCCCCGTGGGGACAGGTGCAGTGACTGACTGAGGGGGAAAGCAAGCACCCCTATCTATGTTTAGTGAAGATGAGGGCAGGAAAGAAGAGAGGGAGGGGAAAGGAGGGAGGAAAGAAAAGAATGATTTGAAAACACACGGTATGTGAATAGTGGTTATCTCTGGGGATAGGATTATAGATAATTTATAATTTGCGTATGTACACTTCTCTAGATCTTCCAAATATCCTACAATGAACACATACTTTTATAATCAAAAGGTTTGTTGTTTTTTTTTTTTAAATAAAAGAAACTGATAAAGGGTTCTGTGTCCAATAATGGCCAAGTGATTCCTATTAGACTGCACATACTCCAGACAGACATGAGCTCTGGAGAATGGGACTGGACGCCTGAAAGAAAGGAATGGAAAGAGGAGAGGTTTACAGCTTCACGGCATTTGGCGTGACGGCAGGCCCCAGCCTGTGCTGTGTGGACTGGCCCAGAACCAGACACACAGAGCCTCACTGGCTTGAAGACCACTAGGAGAGAGAGCACGAAACCACCCCGAAGGAAGGGGGAATCACCCCAGGAGACGGCTGGGCACAGGGAGGCCCCAAGTTCTCTCCCGAATCTCTGGCTGCCCCCTAAAGCGGGCACACAGACTCCAAGCACAGGCCCACAGAAGCATACCAAGATTTCAGGTGCTCCACCTCAGGGGAACTAAAATTCAGTAACGTTAACTACGAAAGCAGAAATGATCAATACTCTTCAGAAGACTAACAGAAACCGGAGTCCCTACAGCCTCTCATTCATGACATCCAAAATCTCTCCCAAACACAAAGACACAGGAAAACATGAGCCATACTCAGAGTACAGTACATACACACGAACCCCACACAACGCAAATGCTGGACTTAGCGGCAAGGATCTGACAGTGGCTTTAAGAAGTATGCCCAAGGACATAAAGAAAACATACTGCAAGAAGAACAAGAGAAAGAAGAAACTATTAAGAAAGAGAACCAAATGGAGATGCCAGAACTGAAAAATAAACTATCTGGAATACAAAGTCCGTGAACTGAAAGCACAGTGTCGAGAGAGGAGGAGAAGGGGCAGACTCGGCATCCCTGGACGGAGCCGGGCCATTGGGGCGGTGTCGCGCCGTGTACGGGTGGGAAGATGACAAGAGCCAGGCCGAGCCCAGGGGACGCACACTCACACCGCCCAGTCATCCCCTCCAGGCTGCACAGCTCCCAAAGGGAATGGAAAGTCTTCCCAAAAACGGTGCCGGGGGACTAGGCGTCCACAGGAAAAGGTTGAAACACTGGATGTCACTGAAATAAACAACTTGTGCTCATCACAGACACAGGCAGGGAGGGCCGGACTCTCTTCTCCCGCCTTCCTCGCTGTGGTCCACCCCCCACACCAACACCCCCCGCCCCCAGACTCTTGCCTTCAGAATGACTCTTTCTCTTACACTGTCTTCCTGAGTATTCTACTGGGAAACATACTGCAGTCTTTAAAGTATAAACTTGAGGGCGCCTGGGTGGCTCAGTCATTAAGCATCTGCCTTCGGCTCAGGTCATGATCCCAGAGTCCTGGGATCGAGTCCCGCATTCGGGCTCTCTGCTCAGCGGGAAGCCTGCTTCTCCCTCCCTCTGCCCTTCCCCACTGCTCCTTCTGTCTCTCTCTCTCTTTCTCCCAAATAAATAAAATCTTAAAAAAAAAAAAAAAGATAGCATTAGTAGGGTAAAGTCAAAGAGCTACAATTATCCATTTTCTCTAACATCATAAGCACTGAAAAGTAATCTCCAATGAGGATGGTTGTTTAAAATCTAAATAACAAATAAAATGGTATTATTTTGTATACAACTGCACTCTAGCAGAATACAACCTCAAAGGCTTTTAGAAATGAAGTAATAGGGCGCCTGGGTGGCTCAATTGGTTAAGCGACTGCCTTGGGCTCAGGTCATGATCCCGGAGTCCTGGGATCGAGTCCTGCATCGGGCTCCCTGCTCAGCGGGAAGTCTGCTTCTCCCTCTGCCCCTCCCCCCTCTCATGTTCTCTCTCTCTCATTCTGTCAAATAAATAAATAAAATCTTTAAAAAAAAAAAAAAAAAGAGGGCGCCTGGGTGGCTCAGTTGGTTAAGCGACTGCCCTCGGCTCAGGTCATGATCCTGGAGTCCCGGGATCGAGTCCCGCATCGGGCTCCCTGCTCGGCGGGGAGTCTG